TGTTATGTGCCGTCGAGTCAACCCCAACTCATAGCAACCCCTCCTTGGGTTTCTGAGGCAGTATCACTACAGAAGTAGGATTGCCCAACCTTCCTTCAGAGGAGTGGCTGGTGGGTTTGAACCGCCAGCCGTCTGGTTAGCAGGCAAGTGTCTTAGCCACTATGCTACCAGAGCTCCCAAAAAAAAACTAGGGGACCTAATTTTTGGCATGACTAGTCTGTCAAATACAACAACTAAAAATGCACAAACAGAAAATACATTAGATAACTAGGACCTCCTAAAAATTAAATTCTTATGCTCATCAAAAGTCTTTACCAAAAAGGTGAAAAGTGAGCCTACAGACTGGGAAAAAATCTTTGGCAATGACATATCTAATAAAAGTCTAATTTCTAAAATATATAGAAAACTTTGACAATAAAAAGACAAACAATCTAATCAAGAAATGGGCAATGGACTTATGAATAGACACTTGACCAAAGAGAACAGATGTAAGATGCTTGTGGTCATTAGCCATTAGAGAGATGCAAACCAATTCTACAATGAGATACAATCTCTCTTCTGCAAAAATGGCACTGATCCCCCCGCAAAAAAAAAAAACAGAAAACAACAAATGTTGGCAAGGTTGTGGGGAGATTGAAAGTCTTGCACACTGCTAGTGGAAGAATTTTAAAGTGGTACAACCACTATGGAAAATGGTATGGCACTTTCTCAAAAAGCTAGAAAAAGAAATGCTTTCTGGTCTAGCAATCCCTCTCCAAAGTGTATAACCCAGAGATATAAGGACAATGACATAAGTAGACATAAGCACACCTATATTCATTGCAGGATTATTCACAATAGCAGAAAGATGGAAACAAGCTCAGTGTCCATCAACAGGTGAATGGATAAACAAATTGAGGTCCATACATATAATGGGATACTGTGCAACTAATGGAGAGCTCTGGTGGCATAGTAGGAGCTCTGATGATGTAGTGCCCAAGGCATTTGACTGCTAACCAGAAGGCTGGCAGTTCA